CAACCCTATAGCACCCATGGGTGACGGGTGAGCTGACACCCCCACCCTGACCCATAGCACCCATGGGTGACGGGTGAGCACCCTATGGCACTGCCGACACCCCAACCTGAACCCTATAGCACCCATGGGTGACGGGTGAGCGCCCTATGGCACTGCCGACACCCCCACCCTGACCCATAGCACCCATGGGTGACGGGTGAGCGCCCTATGGCACTGCCGACACCCCCACCCTGACCCATAGCACCCATGGGTGACGGGTGAGCGCCCTATGGCACTGCCGACATCCCCACCCTGACCCATAGCACCCATGGGTGACGGGTGAGCGCCCTATGGCACTGCCGACACCCCCACCCTGACCCATAGCACCCATGGGTGACGGGTGAGCACCCTATGGCAATGCTGACACCCCCACCTGAACCCTATAGCACCCATGGGTGACGGGTGAGCACCCTGTGACACTGCCGACACCCCAACCTGAACCCTATAGCACCCATGGGTGACGGGTGAGCACCCTATGGCACTGCCGACACCCCCACCCTGACCCATAGCACCCATGGGTGACGGGTGAGCCGACACCCCCACCCTGACCCATAGCACCCATGGGTGACGGGTGAGCCGACACCCCCACCCTGACCCAGAGCACCCATGGGTGGTACCACCCCATCACCCGCACCTCAACCCTATAGCACCCATGGGTGACGGGTGAGCCGACACCCCCACCCTGACCCTATAGCACCCATGGGTGACGGGTGAGCCGACACCCCCACCCTGACCTATAGCACCCATGGGTGACGGGTGAGCTGACGCCCCAACCCTGACCCATAGCACCCATGGGTGGTACCACCCCATCACCTGCACCTCAACCCTATAGCACCCATGGGTGACGGGTGAGCTGACACCCCCACCCTGACCTATAGCACCCATGGGTGACGGGTGAGCGCCCCATGGCGATGCCGACACCCCCAACCTGAACCCTATAGCACCCATGGGTGACGGGTGAGCACCCTATGGCACTGCCGACACCCCCACCCCGACCTATAGCACCCATGGGTGACGGGTGAGCCGACACCCCCACCCCGACCTATAGCACCCATGGGTGACGGGTGAGCACCCTGTGGCACTGCCGACACCCCAACCTGAACCCTATAGCACCCATGGGTGACGGGTGAGCACCCTGTGGCACTGCCGACACCCCCACCCTGACCTATAGCACCCATGGGTGGTAACAGCCCGTCACCCGCACCACATCCCTATAGCACCCATGGGTGACGGGTGAGCGCCCTATGGCACTGCCGACACCCCAACCTGAACCCTATAGCACCCATGGGTGACGGGTGAGCCGACACCCCCACCCTGACCTATAGCACCCATGGGTGACGGGTGAGCCGACACCCCCACCCTGACCCTATAGCACCCATGGGTGACGGGTGAGCCAACACCCCCACCCTGACCCATAGCACCCATGGGTGACGGGTGAGCTGACACCCCCACCCTGACCCATAGCACCCATGGGTGACGGGTGAGCACCCTGTGGCACTGCCGACACCCCCACCCCGACCCAGAGCACCCATGGGTGACGGGTGAGCACCCTATGGCACTGCCGACACCCCCACCTGAACCCTATAGCACCCATGGGTGACGGGTGAGCACCCTATGGCACTGCCAACACCCCCACCTGAACCCTATAGCACCCATGGGTGACGGGTGAGCACCCTATGGCACTGCCGACACCCCCACCCTGACCCATAGCACCCATGGGTGACGGGTGAGCCGACACCCCCACCCTGACCTAGAGCACCCATGGGTGACGGGTGAGCCGACACCCCCACCCTGACCCAGAGCACCCATGGGTGACGGGTGAGCCGACACCCCCACCCTGACCCATAGCACCCATGGGTGGTACCACCCCATCACCCGCACCTCAACCCTATAGCACCCATGGGTGACGGGTGAGCGCCCTATGGCACTGCCGACACCCCAACCTGAACCCTATAGCACCCATGGGTGGTAACAGCCCATCACCCGCACCTCATCCCTATAGCACCCATGGGTGACGGGTGAGCACCCCACGGTGATGCCGACACCCCCACCCCGACCCTGTAGCACCCATGGGTGGTAACAGCCCGTCGCCCCAACCTGAACCCCATAGCACCCATGGGTGGTAACAGCCCGTCGCCCCGACCTGAACCCTATAGCACCCATGGGTGTTCAGACCCCATCATCCCCACCTGAACCCCATAGCACCCATGGGTGGTAACACCCCATCGCCCCCACCTCAACCCTATAGCACCCATGGGTGGTAACACCCCGTCGCCTGCACCGGAACCCTATAGCACCCATGGGTGGTAACACCCCTTCGCCCCCACCTGAACCCTATAGCACCCATGGGGGCTAGGACCCCCTCACCTCTAGCCCCCATGGCTGCTATGCCCCCATCACCCCCTTCACCCTATAGCACCCATATTCCCCTCAGATTCTATAGCACCCATGACCCCATCACCCCCCCAACACCCTATGGCACCCATGACCCCATCCCCACCCCACCCTATAGCACCCATGGCTGTTATGCCCCCATCACCCCCCCCACACCCTATATCACCCATGACCCCATCACCCCCCCCACCCTATAGCACCCATTCCCCCCCCACCCCCCCACCCTATAGCACCCATCCCCCCCCGCCTCCCTATAGCCCCCATGGCTGCTATGCCCCCATCACCCCCCCACCCTATAGCACCCATGGCTGCTATGCCCCCATCACCCCCCCACCCTATAGCACCCATTCCCCCCCCACCCCCCCACCCTATAGCACCCATCCCCCCCCGCCTCCCTATAGCCCCCATGGCTGCTATGCCCCCATCACCCCCCCACCCTATATCACCCATGACCCCATCACCCCCCCCACCCTATAGCCCCTATGGCTGCTATGCCCCCATCACCCCCCCACCCTATAGCCCCTATGGCTACTATGCCCCCATCACCCCCCCCTCCCTATAGCACCCATTCCCCCCCCACCCCCCCACCCTATATCACCCATGCCCCCATCACCCCCCTCACCCTATAGCACCCATGGCTCCTATGCCCCGTCACCCCCCCCACCCTATAGCACCCATTCCCCCCCCACCCTATATCACCCATGACCCCATCACCCCCCTCACCCTATAGCACCCATGGCTGTTATGCCCCCATCACCCCCCCCTCCCTATAGCACCCATTCCCCCCCCACCCTATAGCACCCATCCCCTCCCGCCTCCCTATAGCCCCCATGGCTGCTATGACCCCATCACCCCCCCCCCACATATCACCCATGACCCCATCACCCCCCTCACCCTATAGCACCCATGGCTGTTATGCCCCCATCACCCCCCACCCCCCCCATATCACCCATGACCCCATCACCCCCCCCACCCTATAGCACCCATTCCCCCCCCACCCCCCCACCCTATATCACCCATGACCCCATCACCCCCCTCACCCTATAGCACCCATGGCTGTTATGCCCCCATCACCCCCCCCTCCCTATAGCACCCATTCCCCCCCCACCCTATAGCACCCATGGCTGTTATGCCCCCATCACCCCCCCAACCCTATAGCACCCATCCCCACCCTCCCACCCTATAGCACCCATTCCCCTCCCCCCGTCTCTTATCGCACCCATCCTTGCCCCATAGCACCCATGGGTGCCCTAACCCTGCCCCATATACAGGCAGCGCTCCAGCTTCCTGCCCAGCTACATCATCGACGTGCGGGAGCTGGACGAGAAGCTCCTCAACATCATCGACCTCCAGTTCCTCCATGGCTACTACGAGCCCACCCTCCTCATCCTCTACGAGCCCAACCAGACCTGGCCTGGGTGCGTTGGGTGCTGGGGGCACCCTAAGGACCCCCCCTGCTCTGGTATCCCTATGGCGGTGATGGTGATGTGGTACCCGTTGCTATGGGGGTGATGTGGTACCCGTTGCTATGGGGGTGATGGTGATGTGGTACCCGTTGCTATGGGGGTGATGTGGTACCCGTTGCTATGGGGGTGAGGGTGATGTGGTACCCGTTGCTATGGGGGTGATGTGGTACCCGTTGCTATGGGGGTGATGGTGATGTGGTACCCGTTGCTATGGGGGTGATGCTGATGTAGTACCCGTTGCTATGGGGGTGATGGTGCTGTGGTACCCGTTGCTATGGGGGTGATGTGGTAGCTGTTGCTGTGGGGGTGATGGTGATGTGGTACCCGTTGCTATGGGGGTGATGTGGTACCCGTTGCTATGGGGGTGATGGTGATGTGGTACCCGTTGCTATGGGGGTGATGGTGTTGTGGTACCCGTTGCTATGGGGGTGATGGTGATGTGGTACCCATTGCTATGGGGGTGATGTGGTACCCGTTGCTATGGGGGTGATGGTGATGTGGTACCCGTTGCTATGGGGGTGATGTGGTACCTGTTGCTGTGGGGGTGATGGTGATGTGGTACCCGTTGCTATGGGGGTGATGGTGGTGTGGTACCCGTTGCTATGGGGGTGATGTGGTACCCGTTGCTATGGGGGTGATGCTGATGTGGTACCCGTTGCTATGGGGGTGATGGTGTTGTGGTACCCGTTGCTATGGGGTGATGGTGATGTGGTACCCGTTGCTATGGGGGTGATGGTGATGTGGTACCCGTTGCTATGGTGTTGCTATGGCGGGGATAGTGATGTAGTACCCGTTGCTATGGGGCTGATGGTGATGTGGTACCCATTGCTATGGGGGTGATGCTGATGTGGTACCCGTTGCTATGGGGGTGATGGTGATGTGGTACCCGTTGCTATGGTGTTGCTATGGCGGGGATAGTGATGTAGTACCCGTTGCTATGGGGGTGATGCTGATGTGGTACCCGTTGCTATGGGGGTGATGGTGATGTGGTACCCGTTGCTATGGGGGTGATGGCGCCGTGGTCCCCGTTGCTATGGGGGTGATGGTGATGTGGTACCCGTTGCTATGGTGTTGCTATGGCGGGGATAGTGATGTAGTACCCGTTGCTATGGGGGTGATGCTGATGTGGTACCCGTTGCTATGGCGGTGATGGTGATGTGGTACCCGTTGCTATGGCGGTGGTGGTGATGTGGTACCCGTTGCTATGGGGGTGATGGCGCCGTGGTCCCCCCCTGCAGGCGCGTGGCGGTGCGGCAGGATACGTGCAGCATCGTTGCCATCTCGCTCAACATCCTGCAGCGGGTGCACCCGGTCATCTGGTCCCTCAGCAACCTGCCCTTCGACTGCACCCAGGCGCTGGCCGTGCCCAAGCCAATCGGTGAGGAGATGGGGGGGGGTGATGGGGGTGATGGGGGTGGTGGTTTGGTGATGAGAATGGTGGTGGTGGTGTGATTGTGATGGTGGTGGTGGTGGTGGTGGTGGTGGTGTTACCGCAATGGTGATGGTGGTGGTCATGGTGGTGGTGATGTGATGGTGATGATAATGGTGGTGGTGTGATTGTGATGGTGATGGTGGTGTGATTGTGATGGTGATGGTGGTGGTCATGGTGGTGGTGATGTTGTGGTGATGATAATGGTGGTGGTGGTGTGATGGTGGTGGTCATGGTGGTGGTGATGTTATGGTGATGATAATGGTGATGGTGGTGGTGTTGTGGTGGTGGTGGTGGTGTGGTTGTGATGGTGATGGTGGTGGTCATGGTGGTGGTGGTTTGGTGATGAGAATGGTGGTGGTGGTGGTGGTGTGGTTGTGATGGTGATGGTGGTGGTCATGGTGGTGGTGGTTTGGTGATGAGAATGGTGGTGGTGGTGTGGTTGTGATGGTGATGGTGGTGGTCATGGTGGTGGTGATGTGATGGTGATGATAATGGTGGTGGTGTGATTGTGATGGTGATGGTGGTGGTCATGGTGGTGGTGATGTGATGGTGATGATAATGGTGGTGTTGTGGTGGTGGTGGTGTGATTGTGATGGTGATGGTGGTGGTCATGGTGGTGGTGGTTTGGTGATGAGAATGGTGGTGGTGGTGTGGTTGTGATGGTGATGGTGGTGGTCATGGTGGTGGTGATGTTGTGGTGATGATAATGGTGATGGTGGTGGTGTTATGATGGTGGTGGTGGTGTGATTGTGATGGTGGTGGTGATGTTGTGGTGATGATAATGGTGATGGTGGTGGTGTTATGGTGCTGGTGGTGTGATTGTGATGGTGATGGTGGTGGTGGTGTTATGCTGATGGTGATGGTGGTGATGGTGGTGGTGGTGGTGTGATTGTGATGGTGATGGTGGTGGTGATGGTGGTGGTGATGGTGGTGGTGGTGGTGTTACCGCAATGGTGATGGTGGTGATGTTATGGTGGTGATAATGGTGATGGTGGTGGTGTGATGGTGATGGTGGTGATGGTGGTGGTGGTGGTCTGGTGATGGTGGTTATATAATGGTGATGGTGGTGTGATGGTGATGGTGGTTGTGTTATGGTGATGGAGGTGGTGATGTGATGGTGATGGTGGTAATCTTGGTGTTATGATGATGGTGGTGATGGTGTTATGGTAATGGTGGTGGTGTTGTGGTGATGGTGGTGATGATGGTGGTGTTATGGTGATGGTGGTGGTGCTGCTATGGTGATGGTGATGGTGGTGGTACGGTGATGATGGTGGTAATCTTGGTGTTATGGTGATGGTGGTGGTGTTATGGTGATGCTGATGGTGATGGTGTGATGGTGATGGTGTTACGGTGATGCTGATGCTGACGGCGTTGTTACGGCGATGCTGATGCTGATGGTGATGGTGATGCTGATGGTGATGGTGATGCTGATGGTGATGCTGATGGTGATGGTGATGCTGATGCTGATGGTGATGCTGATGGTGGTGTTATGGTGATGCTGATGGTGATGGTGATGGTGATGCTGATGGTGATGATGTGATGGTGATGGTGATGCTGATGGTGATGATGTGATGGTGATGGTGATGCTGATGGTGATGGTGATGATGTGATGGTGATGGTGATGCTGATGGCGGTGTTATGGTGATGCTGATGGTGATGGTGATGATGTGATGGTGATGCTGACGGCGGTGTTACGGTGATGCTGATGCTGGTGCCTCTCTCCCGGCAGGGGGGGTCGTCATCTTCGCTGTCAATTCCCTGCTCTACCTCAACCAGAGCGTCCCCCCCTATGGGGTGGCCCTCAACAGCCTCACCAACGGCACCACCGTCTTCCCCCTGCGTAAGCGAGGCACCCCCCCCCCCATCACCTTCATCCTCCTCCTCTTCATCCCCCCATCCCCCTCCCCTCCTCCTCCTCTTCATCCCCCTCCTCCTCTTCACCCCCCTCCTCCTCCTCTTCACCCCCCCATCTCCCTCCCTCTCCTCCTCCTCTTCATCACCCCCCTCCTCCTCCTCCTCCTCCTCCTCTTCATCCCCTTCCCCTCCTCCTCCATCCCCCTCCTCCTCCTCCTCTTCACCCCCCCCCTCCTCCTCCTCCATCCCCCCCCTCCTCCTCTTCATCCCCTTCCCCTCCTCCTCTTCACCCCCCCCTCCTCCTCCTCCATCTCCCTCCTCCTCCTCTTCATCCCCCTCCTCCTCCTCCTCCTCCTCTCCCTCCTCCTCCTCCTCCTCTTCATCCCCTTCCTCCTCCTCCTCCTCCATCCCCCTCCTCCTCCTCTTCACCCCCCTCCTCCTCCTCCTCTTCATCACCTTCCCCTCCTCCTCCTCTTCACCCCCCTCCTCCTCCTCCTCTTCACCCCCCTCCTCCTCCTCTTCATCACCTTCCCCTCCTCCACCACTTCATCACCCTCCCTTCGTCCTCCTCTTCCTCACTCTTCTCTTCCTCTTCATCCCCCTCCTCCTCTTCATCTCCCTCCCCTCCTCCTCCATCCCCCTCCTCCTCCTCCTCTTCATCCCCCTCCTCCTCCTCCTCTTCATCACCTTCCCCTCCTCCTCCATCTCCCTCCTCCTCCTCCTCCTCTTCACTCCCCTCCTCCTCCTCCTCTTCATCCCCCTCCTCCTCCTCTTCATCACCCCCCCATCACCCCCCTCCTCTTCTTCCCCCTCCCCTCCTCCTCCTCTTCACCCCCCTCCTCCTCCTCCTCTTCATCCCCCTCCTCCTCCTCCTCCTCTTCATCCCCCTCCTCCTCTTCATCCCCTCCTCGTCCTCCTCCATCCCCCTCCTCCTCCTCCTCTTCATCTCCCTCCTCCTCCTCCTCTTCATCACCCCCCCTTCATCACCTCCCCTCCTCCACCACTTCATCACCCTCCTTTCGTCCTCCTCTTCCTCACTCTTCTCTTCCTCTTCACACCCCTCCCCTTCTCCTCTTCATCCCCCTCCTCCTCCTCCTCCTCTTCATCACCTTCCCTTCCTCCTCCTCTTCATCACCCCCACATCACCCCCCTCCTCTTCATCCCCCTCCTCCTCCTCCTCTCCCTCCTCCTCCTCCTCTTCATCCCCTCTTGTCCCCCCCCGCAGGCATTCAGGAGGGGGTGAAGATGACGCTGGACTGCGCCCAGGCCACCTTCATCTCCTACGACAAGATGGTCATCTCGCTCAAGGGAGGGGAGATGTACGCCATGGGGTGCTATGGGGTGCTATGGGGTGCTATGGGGCGCCGTGGGGCCATGGGGTGCTATGGGGCGCCGTGGGTGCCATAGGGTGCTATGGGGCTCTATGGGAGCCATAGGGTGCTATGGGGTGCTATGGGGTGCTATGGGGTGCTATGGGGTGCTATGGGGCGCCGTGGGGGCCATGGGGTGCTATGGGGCGCCGTGGGTGCCATAGGGTGCTATGGGGCTCTATGGGAGCCATAGGGTGCTATGGGGTGCTATGGGTGCCATAGGGTGCTATGGGTGCCATGGGGTGCTATGGGTGCCATAGGGGGCCATAGGGTGCTATGGGGCGCCGTGGGGGCCATAGGGTGCTATGGGTGCCATAGGGGGCCATAGGGTGCTATGGGGCGCCGTGGGGGCCATAGGGTGCTATGGGTGCCATAGGGGGCCATAGGGTGCTATGGGGCGCCATGGCTGCCATAGGGTGCTATGGGGTGCTATGGGGCGCCGTGGGGCCATGGGGTGCTATGGGGGGCTATGGGGTGCCATGGGGGCCATAGGGTGCTATGGGGTGCTATGGGTGCCATACTGTGTTATAGGGTGCTATGGGGTGCTATGGGAGCCATAGGGTGCTATGGGGCGCTATGGGTGCCATAGGGTGCTATGGGTGCCATAGGGTGCTATGGGGCGCTATGGGTGCCATAGGGTGCTATGGGGCTCTATGGGTGCCATAGGGTGCTATGGGGCGCCATGGGGTGCTATGGGGTGCTATGGGGCGCCGTGGGGCCATGGGGTGCTATGGGGGGCTATGGGGTGCCATGGGGGCCATAGGGTGCTATGGGGTGCTATGGGGTGCTATGGGTGCCATACTGTGCTATAGGGTGCTATGGGGTGCTATGGGAGCCATAGGGTGCTATGGGGCGCTATGGGTGCCATAGGGTGCTATGGGTGCCATAGGGTGCTATGGGTGCCATAGGGTGCTATGGGGCGCTATGGGTGCCATAGGGTGCTATGGGGCTCTATGGGTGCCATAGGGTGCTATGGGGCGCCATGGGGTGCTATGGGGTGCTATGGGGCGCCGTGGGGCCATGGGGTGCTATGGGGGGCTATGGGGTGCCATGGGGGCCATAGGGTGCTATGGGGTGCTATGGGTGCCATACTGTGTTATAGGGTGCTATGGGGTGCTATGGGAGCCATAGGGTGCTATGGGGCGCTATGGGTGCCATAGGGTGCTATGGGTGCCATAGGGTGCTATGGGTGCCATAGGGTGCTATGGGGCGCTATGGGTGCCATAGGGTGCTATGGGGCTCTATGGGTGCCATAGGGTGCTATGGGGCGCCATGGGGTGCTATGGGGTGCTATGGGGCGCCGTGGGGCCATGGGGTGCTATGGGGGGCTATGGGGTGCCATGGGGGCCATAGGGTGCTATGGGGTGCTATGGGGTGCTATGGGTGCCATACTGTGCTATAGGGTGCTATGGGGTGCTATGGGAGCCATAGGGTGCTATGGGGCGCTATGGGTGCCATAGGATGCTATGGGGTGCTATGGGTGCCATAGGGTGCTATGGGGCGCTATGGTTGCTATAGGGTGCTATGGGGCGCTATGGGTGCCATAGGGTGCTATGGGGCTCTATGGGAGCCATAGGGTGCTATGGGGCTCTATGGGTGCCATAGGGTGCTGTGGGTCCCCTCTGTCCCCAGCTATGTGCTCACCCTGATCACGGACGGGATGAGGAGCGTCCGCTCCTTCCACTTCGACAAAGCGGCCGCCAGCGTCCTCACCACCTGCGTGCGTGCCCCATGGACCCACTGCGACCCACACCTGACCCACACCTGACCCACACCTGACCCACAGCGACCCACACCTGACCCACACCTGACCCACAGCGACCCACACCTGACCCACAGCGACCCACATGGACCCACAGCGACCCACACCTGACCCACAGTGACCCACACCTGACCCACACCTGACCCACAGCGACCCACACCTGACCCACTGCGACCCACATTGACCCACATGGACCCACATGGACCCACAGCGACCCACATTGACCCACACTGACCCACATTGACCCACATTGACCCACATTGACCCACATTGACCCACACTGACCCACACTGACCCACACTGACCCACATTGACCCACACTGACCCACATTGACCCACATGGACCCACATGGACCCACATTGACCCACAGCGACCCACACTGACCCACAGCGACCCACACTGACCCACATGGACCCACATGGACCCACAGCGACCCACAGCGACCCACACCTGACCCACACTGACCCACAGCGACCCACAGCGACCCACACCTGACCCACAGCGACCCACAGCGACCCACAGCGACCCACACATTGACCCACAGCGACCCACATGGACCCACACCTGACCCACATTGACCCACAGCGACCCACACTGACCCACACCTGACCCACAGCGACCCACATGGACCCACACCTGACCCACACCTGACCCACATTGACCCACACTGACCCACATGGACCCACACTGACCCACAGCGACCCACATTGACCCACAGCGACCCACACCTGACCCACATGGACCCACACCTGACCCACAGCGACCCACATGGACCCACACTGACCCACACTGACCCACATTGACCCACAGCGACCCACAGCGACCCACATGGACCCACATTGACCCCCATGGACCCACAGCGACCCACAGCGACCCACAGCGACCCACATGGACCCACATGGACCCACACTGACCCACAGCGACCCACACGGACCCACACGGACCCACATGGACCCACATGGACCCACATTGACCCCCATGGACCCCCATGGACCCACATTGACCCACATGGACCCACATTGACCCACATTGACCCACATGGACCCACATTGACCCACATGGACCCACATGGACCCACATTGACCCACATGGACCCACACTGACCCACATTGACCCCCATGGACCCACACCTGACCCACATGGACCCACACGGACCCACATTGACCCACATGGACCCACATTGACCCCCATGGACCCACATGGACCCACATGGACCCACATGGACCCACATTGACCCACATGGACCCACATGGACCCACATGGACCCACATGGACCCACATTGACCCACATGGACCCACATTGACCCACATTGACCCCCATGGACCCCCATGGACCCCCATGGACCCCCATGGACCCACACTGACCCACATTGACTCACATGGACCCACATGGACCCACATTGACCCCCATGGACCCACATTGACCCACATTGACCCACATTGACCCACATTGACCCACAGACCCACATTGACCCACATTGACCCACATTGACCCACATTGACCCACATTGACCCACATTGACACCCATGGACCCACATTGACCCACATGGACCCACATGGACCCACATGGACCCACATGGACCCACATTGACCCACACTGACCCACATGGACCCACACTGACCCCCATGGACCCACATGGACCCACACGGACCCACATTGATCCACATTGACCCCCATTGACATCCATTGACACCCATTGACCCCCATTGACCCCCATTGACCCCCATTGTTGCCCCCCATTGACCCCCATTCTCCCCTAATTGACCCCCATTGCCCCCCATTGACCCCCATTGCCCCACCTGATTGACCCCCATTGACCCCCGTTGTCCTCCCCATTTCCTCCCATTGCCCCCCATTGTCCCCCCCATTGACCCCCATTGACCCCCATTGTCCCCCCATTGCCTCCCATTGTCCCCCCTGATTGACCCCCATTGTCCCCCCATTTCCCCCATTGTCCCCCACCCCCCATTGTCCCCCCATTGTCCCCCATTGCCCCCCATTGTCCCCCCATTGCCCCATTGTTGCCCCCATTGACCCCCATTGTTCTCCCCATTGACCCCCATTGTCCCCCCATTGCCCCCCATTGTCCCCCGTTGACTCCCATTGTTGCCGCCCATTGTCCCCCATTGCCCCCCATTGTCCCCCCATTGCCCCCCATTGCCCCCCATTCCCCCCCATTGCCCCCCCATTGCCCCCCATTGCCCCCCATTGACCCCCATTATTCTCCCCCCATTGCCCCCCATTGTCCCCCATTGTCCCCCCATTGACCCCCATTGTTCCCCATTTCCCCATTGACCCCCATTGTCCCCCCCATTGCCCCCCATTGACCCCATTCATTGCCCCCCCCCCCATTGCCCCCCCCCCATTGACCCCCATTGTCCCCCATTGCCCCCATTGCCCCCCATTGCCCCCCATTCTCCCCCCATTGCCCCCCATTCTCCCCCATTGACCCCCTTTGCCCCCACCCCCATTGCCCCCATTGACCCCTATTGTCTCCCCCTATTGACCCCCATTGTTGCCCCCATTGCCCCCATTGACCCCCATTGTTGCCCCCATTGACCCCCATTCTCCCGCCCCTTAGACCCCCATTGTCCTCCCCATTTCCTCCCATTGCCCCCCATTGACCCCCATTGACCCCAATGCCCCTCATTGACCCCGCTGACCCCCATTGCCCCCCATTGCCCTCCCCATTGACCCCAATGCCCCCCCATTGCCCCCCATTGCCCCCCATTGTCCCCCCCATTGCCCCCCATTGTTGCCCCCATTGACCCCCATTGTCCTCTCCATTGCCCCCCATTGTCCCCCATTGCCCCCCATTGTCCCCCCCCATTGCCCCCCATTGACCCCCATTGTCTCCCCCCATTGCCCCCCATTGCCTCCCATTGTTGCCCCCATTGCCCCCATTGACCCCCACCCCCATTCTCCCATTGTCCCCCCCATTGACCCCCATTGTTCTCCCCATTGCCCCCCATTGTCCCCCATTGTCTCCCCCATTGCCCCCAATTGTTGCCCCCATTGACCCCCATTCTCCCGCCCCATTGACCCCCATTGCCCCCATTGCCCCCCATTGTTGCCCCCATTGACCCCCATTCTCCCACCCCATTGACCCCCATTTCCCCCCCATGCCCCCCATTGACCCCCATTACCCATTCCCATCCCCCCCATTGCCCCCCATTGCCCCCCATTGACCCCCATTGACCCCCATTCTCCCGCCCCATTGACCCCCATTGTCCCCCCCATTGACCCCCATTGTTGCCCCCATTGACCCCCATTCTCCCGCCCCATAGACCCCCATTATCCTCCCCATTGACCCCCATTCTCCTGCCCCATTGACCCCCCCATTGCCCCCCATTACCCCCCCCCCCATTGCCCCCATTGACCCCCATTCTCCCGCCCGATTGCCCCCCTTTGCCCCGATCCCCCATTGCCCCCCATTGTTGCCCCCATTGACCCCCATTCTCCCGCCCCATTGACCCCCATTGCCCCCATTGCCCCCCATTGTCCCCCCATTGACCCCCATTGTTGCCCCCATTGACCCCCATTGTCCTCCCCATTGCCCCTCATTGACCCCCATTGTCCCCCCATTGACCCCATTGTTGCCCCCATTGACCCCCATTGTTGCCCCCCATGTCCCCCCTGATTGCCCCCCATTGCCCCCCATTGTTGCCCCCCACTGCCCCCCATTGACCCCCATTGCCCCCCATTGTTGCCCCCATTCCCCCCCATTGTCCCCCATTGTCCCCCCCTTTGCCCCTATTGACCCCCATTGTCCCCACCATTGACCCCCATTGTTGCCCCCATTGTCCCCCCCTGTTGCCCCCTATTTACCCCCATTCTCCCTCCCATTGCCCCCCATTGTCCCCCCCCATTGCCCCCCATTGACCCCCATTGTCGCCCCCATTGACCCCCATTCTCCCGCCCCATAGATGGTGACTCTGGAGCCGGGCTTCCTGTTCCTTGGCTCCCGCCTGGGCAATTCCCTGCTCCTCAAGTACACGGAGAAGCTCCAGGAGGCTCCGGCCAAAGAGGCCCCAGAGCGAGCGGTGAGGGATGGGGGGCACCGGAGACCCCCCCCGGACCCCCAAATCCAACCTGGGGCCACCAAATCCAACCCTGGGGCCACCAAATCCATCCTGGGGCCACCAAATCCAACCTGGGGCCACCAAATCCAACCTGGGGCCACCAAATCCATCCTGGGGCCACCAAATCCAACCCTGGGGTCACCAAATCCATCCTGGGGCCACCAAATCCACCCCTGGGGCCACCAAATCCAACCTGGGGCCACCAAATCCAACCTGGGGCCACCAAATCCAACCTGGGGCCACCAAATCCACCCCTTGGGCCACCAAATCCAACCCTGGGGTCACCAAATCCATCCTGGGGCCACCAAATCCGACCTGGGGCCACCAAATCCATCCTGGGGCCACCAAATCCCAACCTGGGGCCACCAAATCCAACCTGGGGTCACCAAATCCAACCTGGGGTCACCAAATCCCAACCTGGGGCCACCAAATCCAACCTGGGGCCACCAAATCCAACCTGGGGCCACCAAATCCAACCCTGGGGCCACCAAATCCATCCTGGGGCCACCAAATCCATCCTGGGGCCACCAAATCCATCCTGGGGCCACCAAATCCACCCCTGGGGTCACCAAATCCATCCTGGGGCCACCAAATCCCATCCTGGGGCCACCAAATCCCAACCTGGGGCCACCAAATCCATCCTGGGGCCACCAAATCCCAACCTGGGGCCACCAAATCCAACCTGGGGCCACCAAATCCATCCTGGGGCCACCAAATCCAACCTGGGGCCACCAAGTCCAACCTGGGGCCACCAAATCCAACCTGGGGTCACCAAATCCAACCTGGGGCCACCAAATCCAACCTGGGGCCACCAAATCCATCCTGGGGCCACCAAATCCAACCTGGGGCCACCAAGTCCAACCTGGGGCCACCAAATCCCAACCTGGGGCCACCAAATCCAACCTGGGGTCACCAAATCCATCCTGGGGCCACCAAATCCAACCTGGGGCCACCAAATCCAACCTGGGGCCACCAAATCCAACCCTGGGGCCACCAAATCCAACCTGGGGCCACCAAATCCAACCTGGGGCCTCCAAATCCCATCCTGGGGCCACCAAATCCAACTCTGGGGCCACCAAATCCAACCTGGGGCCACCAAATCCATCCTGGGCCCACCAAATCCATCCTGGGGCCACCAAATCCATCCTGGGGCCACCAAATCCAACCTGGGGCCACCAAATCCCAACCTGGGGCCACCAAATCCAACCTGGGGTCACCAAATCCAACCCGGGGCCACCAAATCCACCCCTGGGGCCACCAAATCCATCCTGGGGCCACCAAATCCAACCTGGGGCCACCAACTCCATCCTGGGGCCACCAAATCCACCCCTGGGGCCACCAAATCCAACTCTGGGGCCACCAAATCCATCCTGGGGCCACCAAATCCAACCTGGGGCCACCAAATCCAACCTGGGGCCACCAAATCCGACCTGGGGCCACCAAATCCATCCTGGGGCCACCAAATCCAACCCGGGGCCACCAAATCCATCCTGGGGCCACCAAATCCAACCCGGGGCCACCAAATCCAACCCTTGGGCCACCAAATCCCAACCCGGGGCCACCAAATCCAACCCGGGGCCACCAAATCCACCCCTGGGGCCACCAAATCCATCCTGGGGCCACCAAATCCCATCCTGGGGCCACCAAATCCCATCCTGGGGCCACCAAATCCCATCCCGGATCCCCCCCATTATGGACCCCCCCTCCCCCCATTATGGACACCCCTCCCCCCATTATGGACACCCCCCCCTCCCCCCATTATGGACACCCCCCTCCCCCCATTATGGACACCCCCTCCCCCCATTATGGACACCCCCCCCTCCCCCCATTATGGACACCCCCCCCTCCCCCCATTATGGACACCCCCTCCCCCCATTATGGACACCCCCTCCCCCCATTATGGACACCCCCCCTCCCCCCATTATGGACCCCCCCTCCCCCCATTATGGACACCCCCTCCCCCATTATGGACACCCCCCCCTCCCCCCATTATGGACACCCCCTCCCCCCATTATGGACACCCCCCCCCCCATTATGGACACCCCTCCCCCCATTATGGACACCCCCCCTCCCCCCATTATGGACACCCCCCCTCCCCCCATTATGGACACCCCCTCCCCCCATTATGGACACCCCCTCCCCCCATTATGGACCCCTCCCCCCATTATGGACACCCCCTCCCCCCATTATGGACACCCCCTCCCCCCATTATGGACACACCCCTCCCCCATTATGGACCCCCTCTCCCCATTATGGACACCCCCTCCCCCCATTATGGACA